CCAAGCTCTCGCTTTCGCCTGCTGCCCCCCTGCCAAGACGTACCCGGTTTAAAACAGCAACAGGGCAGCTGGTTCCTGCCACAAGGAAAGGTCTGAGACGGGGCTTCTGTAAAGCAGAGCGTGGTTTTAGCCTGATTTCTGCTCTGCTATCTGATAGCCGGGGCAGGGGTTTTTTTCCCTTATCAAATTGGATTTTTACCACTTCTTTTTAACTCGTCCCGTAGCAACACAAGCTCCTCAGGGTGAGATCCCGCAAAGCTTTTTTTTGTTCTGCGGACGGGTTATGCCAAAACGCTCTGACTTTGCAGAAGCACAAACCGTTTGGGAAACACCAGTCACCGGCAAATGCTGCTTTTCGTACCTGACTGTGCAGGTTCAGCGTCTCCCTCTGGCTTTTTCTTTGGGATTGTGATGCTCTCCGCTGATACCATCCCCACCAAACGAAGCGCATCCTTGTGACGGGACAGAATTTGTTGAACACGTGCAATTTGTTCGCGGGGAGAGGCCGGCTTTGGCAGGCAGCCGCTGTGTTTCCAGCCTGGCTCGAGCAGGGCCGTGGCCTTGACTCTTTCTTTTTTTAATTTTGCTGGTGCAGGTAGTGGCTCTTAGCCCCGAGCCTTTGCCTGGGACGGTTTCCTACGCCTTTGGTGTGCAGATTGCGGGCGGCTTTTGAACCTGGGAGCTTGGCTTCCCCTGCGCATCGGAATCCACTGGTTGCTGGACAAGCTCGCTTTAATTTCTCGGCTTTGAAATTGGAAACGCTGCTGTGGGCTTGGTTTTGTTTATCCTGGCGTTTCACACAAATCGAATCGGCTGACGGTGTCGTAGGGAGAAGAGGTTTGTCTCTTGCTGGAGTTAAGGCAGCTTGAGGAATCCATCAGATCCAGCAGTAATGGCCTCGGCTGTTTTTCGTAGCTGTAGCCTCATCCATCTCCAGAAATCTGGTGTAATAAAATTCCCCAAAATTTTACCCCCTTGACGCAACCCCAGAACTCTTTCCACGTCTTACCTTTCCCCCCAACACATTTCAAACCTTTGGCTCTGCTCCGGAGCATCTCTTTTGCAATATTTTCCCCAAACGATATCGATCTGAACCGATCCTTTCATCTAGGTAATCCCATCAAAGCATCCCTGCGTTGGGCACCACGTGATTGATTTTTATGTTTGATTTGATTTGATTTTCCTCCCCATCTCTTTTATTTCAAGCTTCGCTTAGTTTTCATTTCTAGAGTCGCTCGGGGCTGCGCCTGCTGTAGGTGAAAGGCTGGTCTGGAAATTCGTGTTACGCGTGCCCTTACAGCCAGGCTTTTCTTTTGTGCTCGCTGAGCTCTGCGCGTGCTGCTCCGGTTGCATTAGAGGGCTGAATAAATGGGCTTTAAAAAATGCTTATGAGGACAGATCCTAAATAGATAACATCCAGACCTCATGTCAGAAGCGATCAGAGGCTGGCATTTCGCTTCCAAACATCCGTGGAAGCCAGAGATCTTTGTTTTTTGAGAAGTACGTCCCTGCTTTGCAAGCCAGGAAAATCTATCAACTGGAAAAAAAAAACCCAAATAGCTCAGACCAGCTTTTAGCTGCTCATCTCGGCCGAATAAACAGCGTCAGCTGCAAAGAGATGTTGCCTTCTATGTTTAGGAGTAGTTAATTGTGCTGCGCCTCCTGCGCGCTTGAATTTTCATCCCCGAGGAAAGATCATCTGGGATGGGGCTGGATGGTGTTATCAGGGCGTGGAGCTTGGAAACCCAGCCAGGAGGAGCCCTCTCAGACCGAGGGAGCCGTCGAAACCAGCTCAATTAGCTAACGAGATTCTGCGAGCACTTCAGGCCATGGCGAGGAACAGAAGCCGTTTCATTCGCAAGCGTCATCCCGGAGAGGAAGGAGCCCTCCCGTGTCGAGTGCCTTCCCGCCGGCCTTTGAAACGCCGCTCAGCTCCAGAGAGCCCAGACTCAGAGCAGGTCGTTCCGGGGCCTCACGTAATTGAGCCGTGTCCCTTTGATGTCCCTGCTGCCCTCCCCGCGCTCCTCCGCATATTTGAGACCTGAAGTCACAAAGGCTGCCGGTCGCCTTCCCCTGGGCTGGGCGAGCGTCGTTCCTTCGTTCTTTCATTCCTTCATTCCTTCGTTCCTTCGTTCTTTCGTTCTTTCATTCTTTCGCCCTTTCTCCCTCGAGATGCTCCTGCCCTTCCGGGGGACGGCGGCGGCAGCAGCACCCGGCAGCTCTCCCCTATTTTAGAGACACACGACGTTCATTCTCCAGTTTCAGCCCCTCCACGTGTTTCGACTCGCACACGAGGCCACCGAAGCGCCCGGCGGTGCCGCGAGCTGGTGGTGCCTCTCTCACAACTGTGTCCCCTCTGCCTGCTCATAAGAGGCTTTGAGACACTTCAACTTGTGAAAATTCGGATGTTTCCTGCGTCACAGAGCGAAACTCCACGTGTTTGCACCCGTACGACATCCAACGCCAGGCAAAGCTTCCTGAAAAAAATGGAGCCAGCCTCTGCCCCGGGCTGTTGAGCTGTTGTTGACTCATTTGGGAACTGGCTCCCGGTGTCTGAGGCTGGGGTTGACCTTCAGGTGACAGCAGCAGGAGGGTGGATTTTCTCACCCTGCACCGTCCCAGACCTTTCCGAGCGAGGTACTCGCCCATTTCTCCATCCTGTGGATGACTCTTTCTTTTTAAAAATAACCCAATTTCAACCCAGCACCTTTCACCCCAGGCCGCCCTCGATGGAGAAGCCCAGCCAGCCTTTGCTCTGCAAGTCAAGTAGAAACATTTCTAGCGGTCTAGCTTGCGATGCCAGGCTTGGGAGAGCAACCTTATGCTCTGCCGGGAAGATCTTGAAGCTGGAAACCCGCTGGTGTGGATTAATGAATTGCACACAGCCAGGAAGATGAATTTGGGAACAAAGAGTAACCAAATATGACCCTCTTCTGGCACTCTTGACTTTAAGGAGCCCTTGGGCGTTGCTCTGGCTGTGCTCTGTGTGTGCTCCAGCACAAGAATTGTTTCCCACCTGGCTTTATTCCTCTTTTTTCCCCCCTGTAACCTGAGAGCAGCAGCAAAATGTGATCGATCCCCGGCGAAGGGCTCAGGGACGCTGCAGCCATCCTCTCTGCGTCTGGCCGGGGCTTGCTTTTTCGGCCGAGCTCTCGCCACCCACCACCTGGAACCCATCGCAATCCAATTGCCTTTCTCAGCTGCAGCATCTTAAAATAGCCCCTCTGGTGTGTTTTTTTTTAAAATAGTCACCGTTCTGCGTGTCGTTACCTGCTAAAAATGTTTTCTCCCAGTCCTATTAGGACATTGGAGGGGGGTTTGGTGTCTCGGCCTTTTTGGAAAGGGTGACGGCGCTTCCGCCGCCACGTGAGCTTGCCCTTGAGCTGCCCCGGGTTCCTGCAGCTGGGCGCGCGCGTCCGTGGTTTTCGGGTGATGTATTTAGGATTATTTTGAAAGAGTGACCACAGAGGTGGAGGAATCTGCCCGATGAGCCGCGGGAAGGATGCTCAGATGCGTTGGAAAGGCTTCAGCTTCTCCTGGGAGGCTTTTCAGCACCTAACACATCACCAAAGCAGCGACACGGCACCTCTGGCTGCTGGAGCTGGCCAGGTTTGTATTTTTGCAGCCGATTCTCTGCCGTAAATTCAAAGGGATCCCACCCTTTGAGAGCTGCCTGGTCTTGCTCAGGAGGTCCTTGGGTCCCTGGAGAGCCTTTTGAACCCACAACAACCCAAGCAAAAAGCCTCTTTAATAATTTTCAGAGGGTCTTTTGATTCCACGGATTCAAGGAGCGACTGTTAATTCGCCTAACGAAGTATTTAGGGTTTAATCACGCCGCTTGGTTAAAAAAAATGGGGTTCGGTGCGCGCTGCCGCTCGTGAGTCCCCAACCGCTCTGCCATGAGCGACTCCGGATGCGTTAGGATTGGTATTTGTCCTCCCTCCTTCCTTGGGGAGAAGTTACAAGGTATTTGGAGGTAATTATTGCTTTTATTCAGCGCTAAAGCAATAATTTCAAGGGGTGCATGCGAAAGCTAGCAATTTCCTGCCAGTGAGTGACAGATGTTTTGCCATACATGGGATGCGCTTTCAGGCTCCTACTAATTACCACGACACAAATTGGCGGTAGTTTTCTTCCCAGGCTCCTGACTCTAATTTTGCCTTCTTTTCTGAATTTTTTTGGTTTTTAAAGGTGAAGCCTCCGCGTTGTCGCAGTAAAACCGACGCAGAACGTGGCGTTTCCTAAATTTGCCCTTCTCTGTCCCTGCCCAGGTTCATACCCTTCGCCCAAGGCTGGGGCCACGCTGGTGGTCTACAAGGACTTGCTTGTGCTTTTCGGTGGGTGGACGCGGCCGAGCCCTTACCCTCTGCACCAGACAGAGAGGGTCTTCGATGAAATCCATACGTACTCGCGCTCCAAAAACTGGTAAGAGA